GTTGTGAAATAATCATTAAGCAGTAATAGCAGGTGACATAATGTAACAACCCATAGACTGTTCATCCGTGAATGGTATTCATTGTGAAATTTGTCTTAGACAAATCCCATATCGCGGAGAAAAAAGTAAGAGTGAGTTTAGAGTTCAACTGTTGAGACGTCTTTAGAGTTAAATTCCAACGTAAAGCCTAAAAGCTTTGAAGTAGCCAGGTAATTCAGCCGAAACTAACAATACCATTACAATTAAATCTGGATTCTGACACATAATCTGTGATTAAGAGATAAATTTCAAATATTAAGTAAGAATAGAAAAAGGAAAAATTAGTTTGTTGCATGTGGAAGCATGGAACAATTAGTCCTTGCATATACCTAAGACCTTTGTAGAAACTAATAAAAAAAGTTGTTTACTCACTTTTTAAAAGCTAAACTTGGTAGTCAGTGAAAGTCATGCCTAACTGTCCTTGTTTATGTACTAAATTCTCTAGATTATAATATTCAACTTATATCAGAATTCTTAGTGGTCTTTCCGGTATGAAAATTATTTATATCCCTCGAATTTGCTTTAGAAAACAAATTTATACTTTAACTTTGAATAATTGTCATTCTTCTCCTCATATTAAAATTGACTTTTTAAAATGCCTATTTTACCCACTACAACTTCTATCTATTTTCTTATTTCTTTAATGTAATGATATTTTTCCTTTGTTTTAATCAATGTTATAGACTTACTTATAGAGAAATAAATATTATTTTAAAAACAAAACTTATACTGATACTATCTAGATAGTTTTGTAAAAAGAAATGAACATACAAGGAAAAAGACGAATAGACTTGCTTTACTTTTCCCTGTATTTTCAATGGAAAATTATCGCAAATCTCTAAAGCAAATACATTGAACGGATTGGCCATTGGCCCTTCTGCCACCAAAGTGCTTGGAAAGTTTCTGACAAATTCTATCAATTATTCTTGGTTATTTTTAGTTTAAACGGTTTGATGAATGATTATTTAAATTAATTTTTTAATTCTTAACTGCAAAACTGTAATCCCAAATAATTTTTAAATAATCTCTACGTACTCAAATTGAATAAGAAAATAATTTAGAAATTTTGATGTTTGAATCCTTTTGCGGATAGGGGAAAGAGGAGGGAGGTTGTGCAGGGGCGGAGCTAGCGCATCAGCTACGGGTTCGATCGAATCCGGTAGCTTTGATCCAAAACATGTATTTGTCTTATAAAATTCACTGATTATGTACTAATTATTAGTTTAGAATCCATTAACTTAAAAGGATTAGAACTCAGAATTCATAACGTAACTTTCAAATTCTGGCTCCACCGCCTTTGCCTGTGGCTATTTTCTCTGTCTAACAGCTTGTTTGGATTGTTGTTACATGTCGTTTCATATTTTATTGTACTGCATTGTATTATATTGTTTGATGAATACAACGTTTGAATAGATTGTATCGTTTGTTGTTGTTTCATGATGTCACACACCAATAATATAGAGAATAAACTTGCAACTTACTAAGAAAAAATAGTATACAAAGTAGAATTATTATATAAAAAAATAGAATAAAAAATACAAGCCGTAAATACAAGGAAAAGATAAAAGAAAAATATTGGGGGGAAAAGCTGCGAAACGAAAACACAGAACGGATTGGCCATTAGCACCTCTTCCACCAAAGTGCTTGAAAAGTTTCTGACGAATTCACTATCCATTACTTGTTATTTTCAAGAGATAAGAATGAATAATTGAAAAGAATTGGTGGAAGACATTCATAGCAGCAATCATTTTGTTTTTTCACCACTTTCTTTTTTGGGTAGTTACAAATATTTTGAAATCAGAATGACCTAAAGTTTCACTGTTATTTTCTCTTCACTAGGAAACAAATCATACCAAAATTTTGTCAAGCTTAACCATGACTTTGAATTGAAGTTCCTAATTTTTGTGCAGTTCTCAAGGGGTCATGACTCTTATTTTCATCTAATATGACATTTTTATGATGATTTTAAATGATATCGCTAGTAACTGCCATTTATTTCTTCTCACAATGGAGAAATTTTCAAGAAATTAATGGCGCACGATCTGAAACTCAGTAGATAATGGGTTTTCAAAAATGACATCTTAATTAGATAAAAGTTTAACTTCTACGAAAAAATTATTTTTCGCTTTCAAGTTATCAAAAAGTGAGATTAATGACCTAAAAATAAGATATATTACATATTGCAGCTAATTAAAACACACTAATAGTATAGTATAAAGAATAGTCATTTGTACTCTATAGCTTCTTAACAAATTTAATGCAGAATTTGTCCGTTTTAACATTGTAATTGTAATAAGAAATATGCTCCTAATCCTGTGAAACTAAATGGGCGTTTGGACATAAGAATTGTGAAATTTCAGAAAAGTGAAGGAAAAAAAAAATGAAGATGGTATTTAAAAATTAGAGTTGTGTTTGGATATAAATATAATTTGGAGCTGTCCTTGAATTTTTGTGAGTGATTTAAAGTGAAATTTAGAAAAATAGCTTTTTGTAGTTTCTCAAATTTCAAAAAATTCTGAAAATCAACTTCTAGTGAAATTTAAAATTTTCATGACCAAATATTGATTCCGAAAAAATAAAATTTCCCAAAAAAAATTATAGCCAAACAGACCCTAAATTGTTTTCGTTTTTGTATCGTATAAATCATAAATAGTGTCAAAGAGATTGTTTCCTCCAATAAATATAAAGTCGCAATCAATTACTTTCTGGAAGAGTGATTCCATCTTTTCTTGTTGGAAATTTCCTTTTTCCCTTGGGATGGGAGAGTGCTATACACTATTCTTAAAAAAACATCATCTCTCTAGCGGAATGTGTAATTGAATTACGAATAGTGTAGCACTAAAAAAGATTTATTAAAAAGTAAAGGCTTTTTCGTCTTTTGGTAGTTAAGTCACACACATGGTCCATGCTATATGAATAATGTTGGGATTTTTACCTAACTATAATATATTAAAAACTTATTAATCACTTTTTTTTTAGGTTCCTTAAAAATTACATTGTGTATATATTTACTATTTATGTACAAAATCATGATAAAAGAAGGATCTCTTAAATATAGGAATTAATTTGTAACTGCATCTCTCATCCCCATCTATCAGCTTAATTAGCCTCCTACAATCACGATTTTCTTCCCAATTTCAAAAAATCTTAAATTCATTCTCTCTTTCATACAAGTCAACAATATCTCTCTCTCATACAAATCAAAATATTATCTCTCTAAAAATTGTAGCATCGTATATTTTCTCTGAATCAATTCCACCAACAACCGTTAAAAAGCTTCAACTATTGACAAATCCATCGACGTCATCTATGAAATTGGAGGTAGAGAGGTCTGCCATTGACATACCATTAAAAAGTTTCGAAGCTTTGAATTAGATATTCGGATTTTATGAATTTGTGATTTCTTTGGATTGGGTATTCTTGAAAACGATTAAAAATATCCTTTAGAGTTTATATTTCAATTTTGATGGAGATTGGTTAAGTTTAAAGTTGGTTTTAGGTTGAATTTCAGATTAAAACTCGAGGAAGAAGAAGTTTCAGAATTGTATTACGATTGTATGATAAATGTATCATAATTGTATCTAAGTTGTATTTGATACATCAATACCTAAGACAATTCTGATACAATACTAGTACTATTAAAATACAATATTGTATCATAATTTAAGTTTATAGTTAGTTCTAGGTGGGTGTTTTAAATTGAAACTTCAAAAAGATGAAGATCAAAGTTGTATCAAAATTTGGAATTGTATCACGATTGTATCATAATTGTATCACAATTTGTACCTAAAATAATACATGTTACAATACTAATACAAGTATAATATGATGTTATATCAGTTTAAGTTTAGAGTCGGTTTAAGTTGTATTATAATTGTATCACAATTGTGTAAGAATTCTTTCAGGATTGTATCAAATTGGTATCTGAATTATGAGCAGTTGTGAGTTCGTGACGAATTTCACAGTTTGTATTGATAATTATATATTAGTTTTTAGTATTGTATTAGGTATTATTTTGGATATTAACGTACCATCTACAAGTTAGATACAATTGTGATACATTTATGTTTTACATATTGATGCATCTGATACAATTCAAATACAATTATGAAACAGTTATCATACAATTCCTGGATATTTCTTCATTTTCAGCGTTGTCCGGTCTCCCAGCAAAAGAACAATACAATTGATGATTTAGTAATATAAACTGTCGGCAATGGTGGGAAGAGAGAAGATGGAGATTATGGGCGTAAAAGGGATTTTGATGTAAAAAAAAAAAGGAGAGAGAAGAGGAGAGGGAAAAAAAAAGGAAAGGATATAATTGAATTTCTTAATTGAAAACACTAATAATGAGGTGAGAGCCTTTTAAGGAGAGATCTACACAATTTGTAAGAAAAACCTAAATACTTATTAAAAACTATAAAACATAGAGAACATTGGTAAATAAATTTCTAATATAGTATAGCTAGATAAAAATCCCTAGAACTCAATAGTTAGTCTGCAACCATACGTTATATGGGGACATATACATTTTTTGTTTTGCGTATACTAAATAACCTTTCTTCTCTTTATTTATTTATTTATTGTGGTTGGCCTGGTTGCATTAATTGTTTGTACCTCTAGTAACAATTTTCTTTTTATTTCTTTCTATGTTTGTTTAAAATAAAGGACAAAAGGAACAAGTTCAGTAGCTTGAGGTTATGTCCCATGATTAAGTTGTTACAGTCCTGTGTGAAAACGACCACGGATCACTTGTCAATTAGTCAAGGTTCAAAGTTCAAACTAGGATTTTTTTTTGTGTGTGTATATGTTATAAAACATATGGTATTGGTATTACGCATGCACTGCAATTTCCCAATTATTTCCATCCAAACAACCATTTAAGGGACCACATGGACATGGGACTAACTAGCACTTTTCTCATATTTTCTCTCTATATAAACATAACCTAACTGCTGCACCTCTTACACAAACTACAAAGCCTATCTTTAGCTCTCCATATACAAAGTCGCAAACCTTTTTCCGAAAGCAGAGCATTTTATTAATAGAAAAAAGTAATTCAACTTTGGCTTTTCGATCCCATGGACAGGTTACCTAAAAATGGAGCTAATTTTGTGCCTCTTACTCCTCTAACCTTCTTAACCAGAGCCTCCAACTCTTACACCACACGCACCTCTGTTATTTATGCCAATGTCCGCTTCACTTGGCGTCAAACCTACGAGCGTTGTTGTCGTCTCGCTTCTTCGCTCAGGTCCTTAAACATTGTCAAGAATGACGTGGTAAGTTTTGTCATCAATTCAACCTTTTAACGTGGTTAGTCTGTCTTGTTGACGTTCTTAATTCCTTGTCTGGTTGACATGTTATACATGAATTTTGGTTCCATCTAAACAACTGAGAATATGGTCATATGTTAATTTGTTTTTTCAATGATCATGTAGGTCTCGGTCCTGGCACCAAATGTACCGGCCATGTTAGAAATGCATTTTGCTGTGCCAATGGCAGGGGCTGTGCTGAACACCATCAACACTAGGCTAGACCCTAGAAACGTTGCCCTCATTCTCAAGCACTCAGAAGCTAAGGTCTTTTTTGTTGACTATGAATACGTCGACAAAGCTAAAAAGGCCCTTGAAATTCTAATGTCCGACTTGGAAATGCCAATGCCTCTCATTGTTGTAATTGATGACCTCGACTCCCCCACTGGAATCCGGTTAGGGGAGCTCGAATACGAGCTATTGGTGTACCAAGGCAACCCTGAATATGTCCCTGAAAATATTGATGATGAATGGGATCCGATCACTTTGAGCTATACATCAGGTACAACTTCAGAGCCAAAGGGAGTTGTGTACAGCCACAGAGGTGCATTCTTGAGCACTTTGAGTTTAATTTTGGGATGGGAAATGGGTACGGAGTCCGTGTACTTATGGTCCCTCCCAATGTTTCACTGCAATGGGTGGACTTTCACATGGGGAATTGCTGCAAGAGGAGGGACCAATGTCTGCATCCGTAATACTACCGCACAAGAAATTTACTCCAACATAACGCTGCACAAAGTTACGCATATGTGTGCAGCACCTATTGTTCTCAACATAATCCTCGAGGCCAAGCCACATGAGCGGTGCCAAATAACAGCCCCAGTCCAAATACTGGTGGGAGGTGCACCCCCACCAGCTCCACTTCTCGAGAAAATCGAGAGACTAGGGTTCCACGTGGTCCACGCCTATGGCCTCACTGAGGCCACAGGACCAGCGCTCGTGTGCGAGTGGCAATCCAAGTGGAATAAATTACCATGGGAAGAACAAGCCAAGTTGAAGGCAAGACAAGGCCTCGGCATACTGACACTTGCTGATGTTGATGTGAAGAACTTCAAGACTATGCAAAGTGTGCCTCGTGATGGAAAAACAACAGGGGAAATATGCCTGAGGGGAAGCAGCATAATGAAAGGGTACTTAAAGAATGAAAAGGCAAATTCAGAAGTTTTCAAGAATGGTTGGTTTTTCACAGGAGATATGGGAGTGATTCACTCTGATGGTTACTTGGAAATCAAAGACAGATGCAAAGATGTAATCATTTCGGGTGGAGAGAACATCAGCAGCGTCGAAGTAGAAAGTGCAATACTGAAACATCCAAGTGTAATAGAGGCATCTGTTGTGGCAATGCCACATCCTAGATGGGGTGAAAGTCCATGTGCCTTTGTTATATTGAGGGAAACCTCCAAATTTAAAGAAGCAGAGATCATAGCACATTGTCGGAAGAACTTGCCTGGATTCATGGTTCCAAAGAAGGTTAAATTTGTGGAAGAGTTGCCCAAAACTGGAACAGGGAAAGTGCAGAAAAACATATTGAGAGCAGTGGCAAAGACATTTGTGATAACGGAAAATGCAAATCAAACAACCAAAAAGTCAAGCCAAATCAACAGGGAAAAGCCTCGAGCTTACGATCAGAGTCATGAGCAGATTCTTGCTTTGTCTCGTCTTTAGAGATTGAATAAATGCTTAAAGAAAGACTTGTACAAAAGACTTGCAGCTGTTTGAATACTTTTACTTGGAGTAATATTTTTTTTTTTTGGTTGCCATTCAGTTTTTTATTTCAGAGAATCAATGTAAAATCACATCTCTAATTTCAGTTAACCATGTAAGTTGTCTTCCTTACACATTAAGTGCATTCTATATACTATATTTGTTAAGAAAAAGTTGCTAAGTCACAGTTTTGCAGGATACATAAGACGATGCACCATTGGATGATTGAATGATCTATCATAAAACTCCTGAATTATGCCTGAGAATAACGTCTTTCTTGGTAATTGGCTAACATACAAATTTCAATCAACTTGAAAATAAATTCTTAAAAGTTAAAACTACAAAGTCAAAGTTATGGTGAGGAAAGTGTACAGGTTGGTTTGGATTTTTCAATTACCAAACTAAACCAATAGCGTCGGGTTTTAAATCTAAAACCAAACCAAACCAACAAAGTCCATTTTTCAATCTCGATTTTTTCCCGGTAAAGTCTTCATAGCACAAAGTATGTAACTCGTGCTCCAAATATTTCTTTAGTCCTAGTAAGATACAATTATATAATGTATTTTCCAAGAAAATAACATAATAATATGAGATAAGTCATAGCATCACACTAAATATTCAATAACAAAGATAATAAAATTACATAAAGCAATATTGTTAATTAATAAGTCATAATGAAAAGTAACATAATATAAAAATACTATATAGGTCATGATAAAATAAGTATAGCTAATAAGTACTATTAATTACATAATTAAGTACTAAAGAAAAGATAAACTAAGTTATGTATTTCCATTATAAATCAATGTAAAACTAAAAAATAGATATCCAACATTATCGTCATTTCTAGTGTTGAATTGAATTTCTTTTGTCAGCACTAGTATTGATTTGAACTTTGTTTGGGTTACTACATTTATGGGCTATAAAATTTATTTACCGTTCAAGAATGTTAAGTCCAAACTTGAAATAAAAGGTTAAAAGATAAAACTGTGAAAGTTCAAAAAATATTTATAAATTACACTATAATAAATATTTATATATATAAAATATTTTTAAAAATTATATAAATGTACTATCGGGTTGGTTTGGTTTCGATTTGACTTTTTCAGTTAAAATCAAATCAAACCAATTATGGTCGGATTTTTTTTCCTATACCAAACCAAACCACAATCGATTTTTTTTTCCCGGTTTGACTCGGATTATCAAACCAAACCAAACTACTAGGAATCAGAAAAATATAGGCCAGGGATTGTAGTGTTTCATCATGACATATATAGTCGGATCGCATTTAGGTAGTGAATTGACATTGAAAGCTGAAATCGCATGGTGATTGAGTTGCTCCTCTCCAGCCTTAGAAGAATTGTTGCACATATTCTGCTTTTCAAAAAAAAATTGCCAAAAGTGATCTTTATGAATGTGTCCTGACAACTCCTTTTATGCTTTCTCCTTGAAATAGTGCACATATTGTCCAACCAAGAGTGATTGCTGTGTAACGAATGTGTAGTCTCCTTCAACTGACACAACACAACTATCTCAAATGCCGTTGCCAAAAAGGAAATAATTGAGCACTATCAATACATACAAATTAAACTCTTATAAACAATTTATGGGAGAATATCTTTTCTCTTGTCTGAGTATTTCTTATGTCCTCCGGACGCAAAAATTAGGTCATTGAAATGTGGATATGGTTGAGCTTCCTCTGCCTCATATTTCACCAAAGGGATTGCTGATATTTTCTAAGCACTTCTCAAGGAGAGGTCCTTTGTGAGTCATTCCGATGCATGTTTCGTATGTTAGTTTTATATATATATATAAAGTGAAAAACTACTGAATTTGTTGTTGTTATATATATAAAGGTGAAGAGTCAAATAGGGTTGTCCTTTTTTTTTTTTTTTTTTACCTT